ACCTCAGCTGCACCTGAGTTGCATAGGGACCCACCCACAGAGGCAGCAAAGTATCTTAGGGTCCCCTCACTGGGTTTGCTGAAGGGGCCTGCAGACCCCTCAGAGCGCACGCAACAGGGCAGCAGCGAGAGGACTGGAAGAAGTCATTTCCACCTCTCAGTGGACTCCACAGCTCGCTCCGCCCCATCAGAGCCTTCGCAGGCCCTGCTCCCCACCCAGTTCACGCCCTGTGACCACCTGAAAATGGCCATGTGCATAAGGCTGCAGGACCTGGAAATGGCCATGTGCATAAGGCTGCAGGACCAGCTAAATATTTGTGGGGCCCAGTACAAAATAAAAATGAGGGGTCCCTTGTTCAAAAATTAATAAGAATTTAAGGAAGGCAACATAGAACATTAAACCAAGTGCTGGGCCCTTCTGAGCAGGACCTGTGCATCATCTAACCAGTGACAGCCCTGACTAGCTGTTTGGGGCAGGTGAAGGGAACTGTCTTGCTTTCAACAACTTGACTCCAGATACGATTACACGAATGGGTCTACAAATACACTTTTCTCCCATGCCCTGAACTGCAGACCTGACTAATGCACTAATTAAACTGAATTTTAATTTACACGCTTGAAGCTATACTTCTTGCATTTAAAATACAAATGTGTGTAAAATAGTTTTGGCCATTAGTCCCTCCTCCCACAATCCCCTAAGTCAGCAGTCCCCAACCTTTTTGGCACCAGAGACCGGTGCTCCTATGAGAATCTAATGCCTGATGATCTGAGGTGGAGCTGAGGTGGTGATGCTAGTGCTGGGGAGCGGCTGTAAATACAGATGAAGCTTGGCTCACTCGCCCGCCACTCACCTCCTGCTGTGTGGCCCGGTTCCTACCAGGCCACGGATGGGTCCCAGTCCATGGCCTAGGGGTTTGGGGACCCCTGCCCTACATGAAGGAATGGCTGACTAGCAGCTGGCCCGATCAGGCCTCTGGCCGCATTGCACACGTCCCCGCCGATGCAGTGTCCATGAACCTGTGCCATCGCCACAGGCTTGTGCTGCTGTCTTCAACAGGGAAGGGTGGACGCAGGCCAGTTGTCACTCCCACTGTCAATTCAGACCCTGTATCAGTGCCTCCTGTCTTCATTAGAACTATCAGTGACAAGTCTCAGAGCGACCAGCCTGACTTCCCACAAGTTAAGGAATCTTAGCTTGTTCTTATCTCTGGTCAGAAGTAACACTGGATTTGGCTCTAGTCTTTGTAAAGGCACTGACCCTTCATTGAGTTTCCAGGTCTCAAACGTTTGAGGTTTCCAGGACTCTGACAGGACTGTAGAACACACCTGCAAATCACAGTTCTGGGATCCTGGCAGGGGACCCAGTGAGGCTGATGCTATTAGCCTGTGGACACACTGCTCAAATGGTGGTTCTCAAACTTTAGGTGCATTAGAGTCACCTGAAGCACAGACTGCTGGGCCCGCCCCGGAATCTCTGATGCAGGAGGTCTGGGTAAAGGGTGAGAATTTGAGTCTCTGAGACTCACCAGGTGGTGTTGATGCTCCCGGCCCAGGGCCAGGCCACCTGTGCGAACACTGTCACAGGTGATATGCCCAGTCCCCACACCAGACCATGAGACTCCTAAAGAGGGTGGGGTGACCCTGAATGACTAACCATCTGCATGTTTAACCTGCTCCCTAGATAGAAAACAATTAGCCTAAGAAACCACAGTACATTGGAACAGGGAGTTATAGAGAGACACTGTGCCATTAAGAGACAAAGGTTCTTTGCGGTAAAGTCTTCTGATCCTGCCTGCGTTTCTGACCTGGGGCGGGAGTTTTTAAGACAATGGTAGGCTGTGGAGGGAGAACAGGTGCTGGGCATATCATCTGTGACAGTGTTTGCACAGGGTGGCCTGGCCCTGGGCCAGGCCTCTCCTGCCCCAGCTCATATAGTGGACAGGCACAGGCCAGGCTGGCCTCCCTGAACCTCAGTGTGTGGGCAAAAACATCTACACTGGGCCCAGGGCTGGCTGCCTGAGGGGAGTGTGTATTTGGAAACTGGACACGAATGAGGCTTTGAGGAAGGGTTGAGGAGGAAGGGCAGCCTATCAACTCTAGTAAGAAAAATACATACTTAAAAAGAAATAAAGTATTTTACTCATACACACAAATACATACTCTAAACCGCAACCCCTCCCACCCCGACCCCCGCCTTCCCCGTAGCTGGTAAAATAATTCAAATCTTAGATCCATTTGTCTTCCAGGGTCCTTCTGGCCTAGGTTTCCTAAAGAGTGTGACCCTAGGAGCCCACAGCACCCCACCAGCCCCACCCAAAGGGTCCCAGAAGGAACATTCCAGCTGCTCCTGGATCAGAGAGGCAGACGAAGCAGCTCTTCAGGAAACAGCCTCAGCCCCGCTTGGGGTGGGAGGGGACAGGCTGTGTCTTCAAGCCTCTGACCCTTCGGCACTGCCGGCATCCTCTCTGCCCCACCTCCCAACCCAGCTCTGGAGGCTGAGTGAGGTGAGAGGCTCTGCAGGCTGGTCCTCCATCTCCAGAGTCCTGGGGATTCAGCTCACAGTCTGAATTCCAGGGGGCCCGAGGCAGGGGTACAGTTAGAGATCTTGTTCTCAGGGGTGCACACTGTGGTGGCAGGTGGATGGCCCTTGCATCTACACCCCAGTCTGCTCTTTAATCCAGTCCCGCAATACAGGGAGCCTCGTGTACACGCCTGGCTTGTCCCTCTGCGCACAGCCATCACCCCAGCTCACCACGCCAGCCTGGAAGATGCGCCCATCTGCCTCCACGCTGGACAGGGGGCCTCCGGAATCGCCCTGAGGGGATACAAGCCCTGAGTGCCTTGTCCGCCTCCTCAGGCCCGCCCCAGCCCAGGCTCCCCCATGACACCCACCTGGCAGGCATCCACACCCCCACTCAGGTAGCCCACACACATCATGCGTGGGGTGATCTGCTGCGGCAACAGCTTCTCACAGGTCGTCTGGTTGATGACACGGATCTCGCCCTTCTGCAGGATCAGCACCACGGTGCCTGGGGAGAAGGCAGGACAGGCTGATCCAGGCAAGCGGGCCCCCGAGGGGCCTGTGCTGTGTGGGGAACAGCACCACCCAAGACGCTCGCACAGGAGTCACCAGACCCCAAACTCTGGAGACATCCCAAAGGCCTGTGGCTGACAAATGGCTAAGTAACTGATGACACATCTACTCGACAGGATATTATGCAGTCACGTAGCGTCCCTGGGTAGCAGGCTGGAAATGTGACAGGTGATATGAGACTGAATATACACCATAGGAACAGCATGTGAGAAGTAAACAGACTAAAAGATAGCAACGCAAAATGCCCACAGAGGCTTCGTTAAGGTGGTAGAGCCTTAAGTCAGGTTATTTTTCTTTTTCCTCTCCATAATCTACATTTTCGGCAGGGTGCTACATTAATATCAGCACTGATTTTTTTTTTTTTTTTCTATTTGACAGTTTAACTAATGGCCTACAGATGGAGGCAGAAGGACAGAAGCGGCCTGGTTCCCACCACCGGTCTCAATCCAGGCACAGCTCGGCAAGCCTCTCTAAATCCCAGTGTTCCCACAACAGTTTTCTTAAACTCACTAGGTACCATTCGGGAAGGTGTTTTTATCTTCATTTTACGGGCCCAGAGTTTAAGCAACTCACCGAGGTCACCCAGTGCAGTAGCACAGGCCTTCCTGCGCCAGGCCCTCAACATTGTCACAGTGCCTAGCCTCCTCACCCCCACTTTCACTAGAAGCCTCCATTTCCTCCCGGAAAGCCTCATCCTGCGGGGGCGGGGAGGGGTGGGGAGCCGGCCCTGCTCACCGCCCTCGTAGGTGTGACCCCAGCCAGTGACCCAGATGGCCTTGCCGGCCGGGAAGCTGTGCGAGGCGGCGGGCAGGCAGATGGGCCTCACGGTGCTGCTGTACTCCACGGGCTGCTCCAGCTCCAGCACTGCGATGTCGTAGTCGTAGGTGAAGTCGTTGAAGTAGGGGTGGCTGATGATGCGTTTAAGCTTGCGCTCCTGCACTCCTGAGGCGCTGCGCTTGCTCTGGTCATGCAGACCCAGGAAGGCGGTCCACATGGTGTGGTCAGAGTACCTGTGGAGGGAGCGCAGAGGGCCCCCGGGGTGAGCGCGCCACCCAGGACAAAGCCACCACACGACGAGGGAGGGGTGGCTCCTGCGTGGCCGCCACCCCCGACTGGAAACTACTAGGTGCCCCTGACACCGCACTCAGCCTCCCAGTCCTTTGTTGTTTTCCTCCCTTAATTCGTTTTTATCTGATTACTAAAAAATACCTTATTATGCCTTACTAATCTGATCTTTCACAGAAGGACTAACACACAACTCAATTAGAATACTTTTCTAACACAGTGGTACATATTCTAAGTGCCATATGAATTGAAAAATAGGTTGAACTTCATGTGCTAGGTTTGTTGTTGGTAGCGGGGTCAGTGTAGCAGTTCTGAAACTGTGTCGTGTTTACTGGAGGAATAAACAACTAAGGACGAGACACAATGTTGTTGGGAGCCAACTTCTGGTGTGGGAAAAGGGAGCCACAAATAAGGAGTGGGGAGTGAGGGGAAGAGCCCTGTGTTGCTGGACAGCAATCAGAAGTGGCAGAAAAAGCTCATGATTTTTCAAAAAAAAAAAACACGCCTAAAAGCAATGATATCCCCAATAACACCCAGGCTTGGTTTCTAAATATCCTTCTTCATTAAAAGGAACCAGGGCTCCTTGGAGAAATGGTTGATTTCAGGTCTAGAACAGGTAAAGCATAAAGTGAACCTGGAACATTCGTTTCATCAGGAGCGAGTGCTCAAACAATAATGGAGCCAGTAGGAAAAGGCACTCACTGGCCCAAATCAGGATCATCTGAACATCAAAATAAACAATAGGATTAAATTGCTATACATGCTGAATAATAGAAAAGGGGGAAGGGAAATTTCTAAGTACATCCTGAATCTAAAAAATAATTTCAAAAACATTTATAAGGGGAGAAGGAAAGCTATTCTTTACAGAAAAACACCAGCTAATAAATAAAAGATGCCATAAGAAATCACCTACCATAACAATAACCAACACATGCAAGAATCGTTGAGGAATGCTAAAACCACTGGTAAAAGGTTGTTGAGGAATAAGATATTCACACAGGTTCAAAGTATCATCCAAGAGTATTCATAACCAAGGGAGAAAAGTACCTTTATAATGAAGAAACTCTAGGACACCACTTTAACCAAGTAATCAGATTTTTCTCTCAGTCATCCCCATTAATAAGATATCATGTGCTCCCTAAGAAGGACACAATATCAACTAGGTAGTATTTCCTATAAAACAAAAATGTGTAACCTAACTCTAATCAAGAAAAATCAATCAGAAAAATCCAAACTGAGAGACATTCTGGCCTGGACTTTTAAAAAATGTAATGCCATAGATTGGGGGGTCTCCAGTCCCTGGGCCACAGACCAGTAGCTGTCTGTGGCCTGTTAGGAAGCAGGCCACACAACAAGAGGTAAGCGGCGGGTGAGCAAGCAAAGCTTCATCTGTATTTGCAGACGCTCCCCAGGGCTAGCATCACCGCCTCAGCTCCGCCTCAGATCATCAGGCATTAGATTCTCATAGGAGCACCGGTCCCTGGTGCCAAAAAGGTTGGGGACCACTGCCATAACAAACCAAACATAAAAGGCTTAGGGAAACTGTTTTAGATTTTTTAAAAACTAAAGAAAACCAATGAGTAAATACAAAGCATAACCCTTGACTGGATTCTAGATTTCTGGGGAGAAAAAAGCTGTAAAGGACAATGTTGGGAGAACTCAAAGACATCTGATATATGGACAGAATGCCTGCTAACAGTACTATATCTACACTGTCATTTCTGCTAACAGTACTATATCAACACTGTCATTTCTGGATGTGATAACCGTACTGTGGTTACATGAGAGAATTTCCTTGTTCTTAGTAGATATAAGCTGATGTATACTTAGGGAAGAAGTATCATGATGTCTGTACCTAACCCAGAAATGGTTCCGAAAAATATATGTGAATGTCTTCAGACACCCGGCTTAGAAGGATCTGTGTGATCAAGCTTATTGAGGAGTTGTGTAAAAAGCTGAAGGAATTTGAGAGGAAGACTTTAGCGTCAGTCACCAAAGAGGGAGTGGACCTTTCAGAAGATGACGAAGAGAAAAATAAACAGGAAAAGGAAAAAAAGTTTGAAAACCTCTGCAAAATCATGAAGAACATCTTAGAGGAAAAAGCCAAAAAGGTGGTCATATCCAACCGATTGGTGACAGCCCAATGCTGCATTGTCACAAGCATATATGGCTGGACAACAACCACGGAAAGAATCTGGAAGGCCCAAGTCCTAAGAGACAATTCAACGACGGGTTACACGGCAGCAAAGAAACACCTGGCGATAAACCCTGACCACTCCATCATGGAGACCGGCAGAGGCCGACAAGGTCAGGTCTGTGAAGGATCTGGTCGTCTCACGCTATGAAACCTCACTCCTGTCTCCCAGCTTCAGTCTGGAAGATCCCAGATACATGCTAACAGAATCTACAAGATGATCAAACTTGACCGCAGCAGTGCTGAAGATGACCCCATGGCTGGTGGTAGCAAGGCTGCTGTAACTGAGAAGAGATGATGACACATTTTATGTGTGAAGTAGACGAAGCTCTGCCTAGAGAACGACTTGGTCCGTACTTCATCTTCATTCCCTCTGATAATATATTTTCACGGATTTTTTCCTTTATTTTTGTTAACATTTAAAAAATCTGTATGGCATAACAATAACTACTTCAGGGGAAGGTAAGATTTCTTCCTACTTCTAAGTGTAGTACTGTGATACTTGGGGCACTAAAGCTGAGCTAGTTATTCTTTTCTAGTTTCACATGAGCTTATTTTACCAGATCGAAGTAATGTTTGTTGTAAAGTGTGTGGAACCTCACATTAACTTTGCGGTCTAAAATGTTTTGCTAACAGCAGATTCCTTAGAAGACCAACTCTTTTGTCACTGGGGTGTTCTGAGGTACCCTGATGTTTAAAAGAAAAAAAAATATGTGTGTGTACAGACACATGTGTGAAGAGAGAAAAATAAAACCAATGTGGTAAAATTCAACAATTAGTGAATACAGATAAGGGTATGAGGGTGTTCTCTGTAATTTTTTCTTTCATTGTCCTTGCGACTTATAGGTTCGAAATTTTTTCAAAATAAAAAACTGGAAAATATATCTTTAAAATAGAAAATGTGTATGACAGAAAAACGCATAAAGACATGCTTCATTTTCTCTAACCTCTCAAGAAAGTCAAGAGGCTGCTGAAGTGGCCTCATCCCGGCCCTGTGCCTCAGACTCACCCTTGAGAGTCTTTCTCCCCATCCCTGCCTGCAGCCCCGCCCAGCTGCCCTCTGCTGACCCCGCATACACTCCCTCTTCTCCATTCTTGCCGCCCCCTCCCTAAGGCCTCACACCCAGACTGAAGCACCAGCCTCCACACCTGTCTTTTTGCCTCTGGTCTCTCTTCACTCTAACCTGTTGCTGCCAGAAACAGCTTCCTAAAAACTGCTTTGGTGAGAACCTCTTTGTCTTATTCAACAACCTGGAATGATTCCCAGATCCTATCAGATCAGCCTTTCCTCCCCATCTGGGCTTTCAACATCTGCCGTTAACTCGGCTTTACCCTTTTTAATGTTTTCTCCCAATCATCCTCATATTCAACCATGTCTTCATTTGCCCATGTATTCATTTATTCGATAATTACTGGCTGTCTCTGATTTTGCAGGAATTGTACTAGACCGTCTGCACAGTCACAGCGTACTTGGGGAGAGAGCCAGGAAAAGCACAGAATGAAAAGTGTCCTTCAGAGGAATGAGTAGATGCTAAAGAGCATGAGGTGGGAAGTGAGAGCCAGGAGAGGAAGCAGGTCATGAACCAGGCCTTGAAGATCAACTAAGATTTGGTCAAAGCCTGCAGGTCGGGGACAAAGCAGCGTATGCAAAGAGAGGAAAGGGAATGTTTAGGAACTCCTCTCCCCAACTCAGCCAAACTGAACATATGGGTGGGTGGTGTGAGGCCAGGACAGGAGACTGAGGTTGGAGGGATGGGTTGAGGCGTTCCTACGTTATCCTGCAAGCCACAGCAGGCACATACACAGGGGGCGAACAGGGTCAGCTTAGTTCTTTGGCAAGGCCACTCCAGCACTGGGCAGTGCAGACCAGAGTGCTGAGAAGGAAGCCAGGAGATCAGGCAACCTATGACCACACACGATACCTCTGCTCAGGTACACCCTGTGAGCTCTTGCTGACTCAGAAACGTGTCCAAAGTAACTGCACTCCAGGCCCTTGCACATTTCACACCTGCCTGCCTCTGCTCACAACACTCCCTTTGTCTGGAAGGTCTGAGTCACCGAGTCCAGTGACAAACACCCTCACGTTTCACCACTCAGATCAGAGCCTCACTGATAAAGGCATTCCTAACGTCACCGTCCCCAGCACTCGGGCAGGACTCTAAATGCCACACGTGGGCCCTAGGTAATGTGTCCACAGTTCGGGCCTAGCGCTTACTATGTGCATGTGTCTGCACGTGTGTGCACACATGTGTGTATGTGTGCACACATGTGTGTATGTGCACATATGCATACATAACGAATCTTGTCATCCTACCCTGGGAAGTCTGTGAAGTGCAAAGAGCAAGTCTTATTCATCTTGTCTCCCCAGTGCTCATAACAATGGCTGTTGAATGTATTAATTGGCAGAAGTAAGACTGATGATCAACAGAAGATGAAAGAAGGAAAAATTAAGGAAAGAGGAAGTCCAGTAGGCTGGGGCAAATTCCTCAGGGAGTACACTTAACTTGCCCTGCTAAGGAGCCTGGAAACTGGGACTGAGGTGACAATGAAGATACCAAGCTCCCAAATCTTGTTTTCTAAATACCATTCTCTGCCTAAAGGGCTCCTTGGAGGAAAGGCTCATTCTAGGGCTGGACCAGGGAACATACAACATGAGCCTAGAGCACCTGGTAGTGCTAGAAAGCAAGAAAGTGGCTCAAATAAACAAAAGAATGAGGCCATGTCAAAGGACACAGGAGCCAAGCTCAGTGAGCTCCTAGCAGCCAACTCCCGAACAACTTAAGCAACAAAGTCACTAACATGGCATTGGATTACAACCTGAAATATAAATACACATGAGTCCATTGGAAAATAAATAGATGGTAAAATAAAGGGGAGAGAAGGGACAGATCTTCCCTACAGAATTCCACAGTGAAAGATATCCAAAGCATAGCATGTTGAAAGGGAGAAAACAGGTACTTCCTAGTGGAAAAAGCTGACAAATACTATCTTAACAAAATGACAAAGATTAGCTTTACCAGCAAGGTCATGCTGATATATTTTACCTGCTGATATGATGTGTTATGCTTTCAAATTGCATCAACACAGTCTCATCATAGAACAACATCAGACAAACCCAGGTGGGGGGCATCCTGCAGGATATCTGGCCTCTAGATTATCAAGGTCACAATAAACAAAGACCAAGAAACTGTCACAGACCAGAGGACACTAGGGAGACAAGTCAACAGCATGTAAAGCAGTGACCAGGACTGGCTCCTGGAGCAGAAAGGACGTCAGTGTGAAAATCGATGTCCTAGAGGAGAGCCGAGAGGTGAGGTGACAGTGACGGGGCACTGAGAGTTTCCAGCACTGACAAACGCCCCGGGTGAACAGCAAGGGGAAGTGGGCGAGGGGTGAACAGGAATTCTGTACTGTCTTAGCAACTCATGTAAATTCCAAACTAAAATTTACTTTTAAAAATCCTTAAGAAAACTTCCATCACTCCAAAAAATAAAAAAAAATCATTTCTGCCCAGGATGAAGTTGACAAAATGGGGAGAGAAAGGGCCCAGGGACAACACGGGCCTCACGCCCTCCGGACCTTTGGTGTCGCCTCCACCGCCCACACCCACGTGTCCATATGACCAGGCCCCACATCTGTTCCTGAGGCCCACGTGGTGCAGTAGGCCCCGTCTCTCCTGAAATCGAGGTGGCTCTCCTCTCCTCCCCTCCCTGCAACAGGGCATCACGGCAGCCTGAGGGCCCCTCATGGAGCTGCCTGTGGCAGAAGAGCATGTGCCCAGCAGGAAGTCCCCGAGGGCAGGAATCCCCTGGAAGGTCTGCTCCTCGGTGTCCCCTTAGCCTCCCTCCCAGCCAACGGCCAGAGGGCCCAAGCAGACCTGAGCCAAGACACAAAGAGGCCCACGTTGGGCCACCTGTTCCTGATAATCCTCTGACCACCCCGTCCTGAGAAGACAGCACAACCCTTCCTTAGCGACCTTCCCTGTGCCAGGCTCAAGTCTGCCCTGGATCCGAGGCTATGACATGCCGAGCACCTACTGTGCACCAGGCACAGGGCTCAGTATTTCAGGAACACTGTCATATTTAATTCTCACAATTCTAAGAGTAAGAACTCAGTGTCACCACCAAAGAGCCCAAGGCCTAAAAAGTGTGCGTAACTCGACCAAGGTCACCTGGCAAGCCAGAGCTGCACTGCGACTGTGAGGCTGGTCTGAACCGATCCCGCGACGTCCCTTTAGTGCAGGGACTAACCACACAGACTGTGGAATCCACACACCTGGGTTTGAGTCTGGCTCTGCCACTTAATAGCTGGACAACCTCAAGCAAATGTCCTTACTTCTCTGAACTTCCATTTCTATAATGGGGACATAACCAGACCTGCCTAAACAGGTTGTTAGGAAAGGCACTTAGATAGTGTTTGACTGAGAGGGAGCATTAAGAGATGCTCATTTTTATTATTACTGTCAGTAAGCCCCATCCTGGTGTGTGTGTCAACGCCCCCAGCCCTGGCCCTGCCCCAGGGCCATCCCACCTCAGCATGACTCAAAGACACAGGGGCTTTCCAGAGTACACAGAGGAGGGCCTCCATGGATGCCTCCCTGCTTCCCTCCTCCCAGTGGCCCACCTGAATCCTTTGTCGTTGACGAAGCAGTGAGCTGCAGACACCATCCAGCTGGGAGAGATGAGCGAAGCCCCGCACACATGGCCCTGGCCCAGAGCATGGAGGCTCACCTGCCAGGGCCATTCACCTTCATCTGCATCCTTGCCCCCAACGACCCGAGACTGCCTGCTGAATGGCCGAAGCCCACAGTCTGGGAGGAGCAGAGGACCGGAAGGAAGCACAGTGAGTCAAGGCGGGGCACCAGCCCCAGGCCGCACACCAGGCCCAGCAAGAGCCTGTATAGAGTGGTCGCCTTGCAGTGGGCCCAGCACTGCTGGAGCAGTTGTGGCATAAGGGACCCTCTACAAATAAGTACCTTCAAGCCTCAGACCTACTAACTTCCACTGGGGCCCTCTTCCCCATTCCCAAGTTCAAAACCCTCATAGTCTCGCCTTCCCCATCCTGCACAAATGCTTGCAGGGGGCCTCCAGCACCTGCTGGTTTGCTTAGATTTACTATGGGTGTCATTTGCCTAGATTTCCTTGTCAAATGCTGAAGGACACAGCTTTCAAAGGGAGCAGCAGATGGGTGACTTGAAGTCACAGAACAGCTGCAGCTATGCTCAGTGCTACGAGGCCAGTGCTTCTGAAACACACAAGAGGCTACAAATTAAAGTATCAGGTTTTGCGGGCAAAACCCTGCTGAGTGCTCCAGTAGGCTGCACCCTCTCTCCTCCAGGGGGGACAGGGAAGCCAGGGCCTGCCACTCCCCTGTCACCAGGTCTGTGGAGCAGCGGCCAGCCCAGCACCACAGCCAGGACAACAGCCCTGCAGGAGAGGTGCTGACATGCCGGCTCCCCTGGGCCTTGCCAGCCGGACCACAGCGGGCCCAAGCGGCAGTGTCTCAGTGCCACCAGCAAAGCCATCTTTTCCTCCGGGCAGACCGGGGCAGAACCGGGCGAGCGAGGCACCGGCGTGGCTTCTGCCTGTGTGCACAGTGGACGAACTGCACGACCACTCGCGGCCGCCCTGCTCACCACAGTCCTTCTCGTCCGAGCCGTCGCTGCAGTCCTCCTTCCCATCACACTCGGGGTTTCCCTTGCTCACACAGAGCCCGTTTTGGCAGCGATAGGTGTGTTCGGTGCAAGTGACGACGTTCACTGCTCAGGGAAGACACATGGAAGAAAATCAGCTCCTCTGTGGCACCCAACCAGAAGCCTGGTGACCCGTCCACCTCGCACCCCTCACTCAGGCTGCCCCACCTACCCACACCAGTGCCCACTGTCCTTTCAGCCCTGCCAAAGGTTTTCCACCTTCCAAAGATTCTCCCCTACAGACACCTTTTCTCATCACATTCCCACAGAGGTGGTGTGTGGTCATTAAACTTTGGACATGCTGCACGTGAGTGTGCTCATGGCTGCTCCCTTGGGTAAAGGAGGAAAAGCCCCCTGAAGGACAGTGGGCTGGCCTAAGCCTCACCGCTGTCACATGTGGCCTCGTCGGACCTGTCCCCACAGTTGTCCTTCCCATCACACTGCTGGCTCTTTGGGATGCACTTCCCATTGCTACACTTGAAGGTCTCAGCTGGACAACCTGGAAAGCACAAAGCACTCAGCAGGGGCTCAAAACTCCCGCTGAGTCAGCTGCAGGGAACCCGGGCAGTGCCCCGAAAGCACTCACTGCACTCCAGCTCATCACTGTTATCCCCACAGTCGTTCACGCTGTCACAGATCCAGAAGAGGGACTTGCAGAATTTGTTCTTGCACGTGAACTGGTAGGTGGCGTTACATTCTGGAGAGGGCGAGGGCAGCAGTCAGCTGGCGAGGCTCAGGGGGACGCGAGCCCCCTGGCCTCTCATCACCCACTGCTTCCCCTGGAAGCTGCCCGAGGACACAGTCCCATCTGGAGAGCGGGTCGGGGCACCCTGTGTCACTGGCTGAGGAAGCTGACCTCAGCACAGCAGAAAAGCTCCACTGCCTGCTCCACAGCAGAGCAAGCAAAGGGGTCTAGATGTCTACATGGGCATGGGCACAACCTCCCAGCCACCTCGGGCCTTCCTTCCGCAAAGGCCAGCTGGCAGGCACCAGGACACAACACGGACAGAAGGATGGCGCGGCCGGCACCCCACTCACTGCAGTTGAGCTCATCGCTGTAGTCGGCGCAGTCGGCCCAGCCGTCACAGCGCAGCTCATTCCTGATGCAGCGCCCCGTGTTACACATGAACTTCCCAGGACACGCTGAAAGGGAGAAGGCAGGCCTCAAGTCCATGGCCACCACTGCTGCCTCCCACAGCTGGCTCCCCGAGGCACCTCTCCTCCCTCACAGCCAACCTGAAAGCCATGCTGAGGACCGAAGGGAAAACCCTCGCCAGTCCAGCCCTCAACACAGAGAGGAGCAGGGCTGCAGCTGGCACCCCAGGGCAGGGGTCTCCCAGTCCCACCAAGCTGTGGCTAGGGGGTTCCCACAGCTGGTAGAGGGAGGGCTGGCTAGGAGTCCCTCCTGACTGCTGATGACCAGACCCTGGGAAGCTCCGGGCAAAGTGGAGAAGGGCTGGCTGAGTATGCACTCAGTTCTGCACCCCGTTTCCTTGGCCAGCCATGTCCCTGGCTCCCTGTCAGCAACACAGAGCAACAGTAGCTCAGCGGTTCAACAATGTGTCCTACCCAAGCGTCAAATGGCATCATCACATTTTCTTAATTCCGGTATTTCCCACATTTCCATGTTTCTGAAATTGGAAGGTGTCTGACAACTGATGTCATCGGGCAGGTGACAAAGTGGAGAGAAGGCCATTGTCACTTTCTCTGCATAGGTAGCTTAGCCACTTATCAAAGGAGTTTGCTCATCTAATTACACTTTTGGTGGTAAGCCATGCAGTTGAATTTTAACTTAAGTTTGGATTCTTGCATATAGGAATTTAACTTGAAGTCTTCCAAAAGGTTATTCTCTAGTGCAGGGCTGAAACAAAAAACCATAGTGTATGTGGAAGAACCTACTCACACTGATGGTGAAATTGAAGGCAACAGAAATTCCCATTTCTCTTAGGTATAAATCACAGAACTGTCAAAGCTAAGAGTAGTCAGTGTGATGTTCATGCCCCAGAATTTTCTAATGTGTCTCAAAATTATGCTATTAATCCTAAAGATGCTAAAAGACCACAAAAACAAGAACCAAATATCAAAGTTACAGTGGTTTGGAACTAAAGGGACAGGTGGCCCAAAGGAGCTCAGGGTCCTTGGGCTCATGATGCCTCACACTGGAACTGAAGAGCATGGTGTGTGCCAGTGTTCACTGTGGCCTTTTTTAATAAATGCATTTAAGGTAGCCTCTTTTTTTCTCCTCAAAAAGCCGCAAGAGGAATCTGTATCTTACATTCTCTGGTATCCTAGAATCAGGAAGTGCTAAGAAGATGAAGCGTGGCGAGTGCATCCTGGTGCCCCTCCTCCCCCCAGCCAGGCTCCTCCTTCTAAAGCAGTTACTCACGATCACTGGAGTCATAGGACAGGTACTCGGCCAAGAAGCCTGTGTCAGTGTAGGACTGATCCGAATGGAAGTGAACAGTGATCTTGCTGCTCTTGCTGGCAACCACAAACTGGGACCTCTCTCCGCAGAACCTGGAAGAGGGGGCAAACAGTAGGAAGAGGACCCGCCCTGGGGCTTGAGCAGCCCCTCCACCGTGGGCATAGCACGGGGCCGGCTCCCCCACTCGCCTGTCGGCGCCCCGCACCCCGGCACTCACTTCTCCCCATTGACCTCTACGTAGTCCTTTGGGCAGGTGCCCAGGGGCACACTGGGCTCCAACAGGTAGAAGAGTTTGAAGAACACCTTCACGTTTCGGTTATTGGGCACCTGGGGAGAGAGGTGCTGCTGGGCCTTTGCTGCTGCTTTCCCTCTTTCCTAAACCCAAGGATATCGCGTGGTGGCCATGGGGGCTGGGGAAGCAAGGCACGTAGCATGGCTGCTGTGTATCTCCTCTCTAGCCCCCGTGGGCAACATGCAACACAGAGCCAGAGGGGTCGGGGTCCATGTTTGGAAGAACTTCTAGACTCAGAGAAGGCTGGAAAATTCTCCCAACATCATCAAAGAAAGGAAAAAGAGATGCAAGTCTGATTGGGATGGAACGAGGAGCAGCCCTTTCAGCAAGGCTCCTGCCTCACGGCCACTCAGCAAGTGCTTTCTGTGCTGCACACACATGCTGACTGCATCCCAGCTGCACCTCTCGGAAGCAGTCACCAGCTCGCTCAGTTACCTGGAGCAAGCTGAGACTCTACCCAAGGGCCCTCGTTCAGCCATGGAGCAGGAGCTAGGACTTGAGTCTGGGTCTGCTTCACACTGCAGCAGGTCAGCCCTGTGCGAACCTGCCTGCCAGTGGGATTCAGACCTGCGGCCTCTTCAGTTGCTAAGGAGCTCATCTCCGCTCTGTCCTCCTCACGTGCCATAATGGAGCGTCCTTTTGTCTCATTCTCTCCCTCCCGCGCCTTCTCTTCTGTCCTTCCCCCTGCTCCCTCCATCCTCTTTCCCCCACAGCTCCTACCTCGATGTCCCATGTGCAGTTGATGTTGGGCGGGTAGTGGCCTGGATAGTAGGGGCTGCTAAATGTCCCTTGGGCTTCACGTAAGTAGCCTCCGCAGCCTGAGAGGAAAGGCAGGAAAAAGAGCATGAGGACTAAGGACCTGCTCTGCCAGACAGGCGGGTGGAGGGAGGGTCCAGAGGAGAGCCAGCCTGAGGTAAAGCCAGTGTTCCTCCCAGGCTGCAGCCTGAGCACCTGAAGGCACCACAGCTAGCTGCTGACAGGTCCCAGGGCTGGGAGGCTGACTACTTTAGGAAGGGCTCCTGACCCCAGTGAGGGGCAAAAGAGCCTTTGGCTTAATCTTTAAAACTCTGTCACCGACCTGGGCCGACCTGGGCAGGTTCAGCATCCACAGGGTTTGGCCTGTGGCCTCCTGGGCTCAGTCCAACTGCTGAGGACTGTCCCCTTCTCCACCCCATGCCTGCCCCTCCTTACTGCTCATTTTAGGCAGCTGGAAGAACATGGCCTCAAAGCCAGGATGTCGCCTCCCAGTGCTGGTTATCAGAGTGACGAGCAGGACATTCTGGGAGGAGAGGAAGGTCAGGTTGTAGGAGGGCGGGTAGGTACCACACAGCCTGTAGGAGCAAAGGAGGAGGGTGTCAGCAAGGGCAGACAGCACCCAAGCAGAGGGGGCTCAAGGACCCCATCCCTAACCCTGGTCTTGTTCAAAAAAGACCAAGGGTGGGGTCATAAAGCCCCACCCCACACAATCGGCTGCTTGATTGTGGACTTAGTTTTAAGACTTTGTCTAAATTAGCAAAAACTCAGAAACACTGAATGCCTAACATTATTCATGAAATGAACTATGGGCTAAATAGTAACAGTAACAGTAGTAGTAACAGCATGAACTGACACTAAGAACATGCCAGGCCCTGTTCTTCATGCTTTTATGTCTACTAACTCAGGTATGTTCATAACAACTCTGAAGTAGATATGATTTCCCCCATTTTACGGATAAGGACATGGAGGCATGGAGAAGTGAAATAATGTGCCCACGATTCCACAGTTAACAAGTGTCAAGGCTGAAATTGAGACTCAGGCACCAGGCTCCAGAGCCCACAGGGCCAACGACCATGTCCCGCTGCCTCTCAGCCACACCTTGTCATACAACCGTTAAAAATGAGGGTCAGAGACAGGACTATTGACTTGGAAAAACTATCATAATATACCTCATTTTTAAAAAACAGATAATAAAACCAAAGGTGCTGTATAATCTTATATCTAAACACATACACAAATACACACATACACAGCAGAAGTCTGAAAGAATATACATCTCAAATTTAACAATGTTTCTAGAAAGTAAGATCATGAATGACGTTTGTCTTCTTTGTGCATGTCTGTTCTCCACTTCTTCCATTCAGGATATGTATTTATTTGTTGTGCAATTAATGCATTAGAGAGAGGGAAAGAAACGCTGCACAAAAAGGATGTTTAGACAGAAGTCCTGGCTGCTGTGGCAGCAGATGGTCCTATCCCAGTTTCGGCCTGAATTTCAGTCCATTATTAATCATGAAGTGTCTGCCCAGCTCATTTCCACAGATAGCAGTAGAAGGCTCCAGCACACTGAGTCAAGAAGAGCTGGGGGAGGAGGGACGGTTCGCTCCCACCCCTAGAGCCTCTGAGAGGATGCTCCATCCTGACAAGTGGCACCCTTACCTCCTCAGCAAGTACATTATGCCTTTTTATTTCCTGTAACCCTGATGCTTTGATATCTGCTGCCTTGCTGACCCTAGAGACACTGCCCTCCCAGGATTAGACAATTCCTAAAATAGTACAAGACCTAAGGCCAAGCTTTTCACATGCAAACCAAGCAATCCAGAGCCCACCCCCAATCACCTCCTCTCTCTTATACTCCAGGCCACCAAACACCTGCCCTAATCACCTCAGAACCAGGTACCAGACAAGAGAGAGACAGTCCTATGCCCCAAACTGCCAGTCCTTAACCTACATACCCTGCCTTGCCTTTCCTGCAGAAACTACAACAAAACAGCATTGCCTACGATTTCTGCCTGTGTCCTCTGCCTCCTGACCAACCCTGCTGTTTCCCTGTGGGGCCCCCTCCTCTTAGGGACTGTAACAAACTATCTTTTTGATGGCAGCCGCCTCCTGATCTGTCGGCCTCAACGCGACCGTTTTACAACAGCAGGCTACACCTTTGCTCTGGCAGGTAAAGGCAGCACACCTGCTCATTGGCATCTGGGGACCAGCGAGCCTCCCTCACGCTTGCCAAGGTCAGGAAATCACCTCCGAGATGCTCCGCTGGGGCGCGCGCTGCGGATCGCGCCACACCTGTTCTCTGCTGCCTGGAAGTGTGCAGCAGCCTGTGGCCAAGAGTCACACGCTGTATCTCCAGCCTACACTGCGACTCGCTCCAGAGGCCCAGCCCACCAGGGGCAGCCACCTAGCTCCCACAGCCCACCTGAGCTCCCCCGGGACACTCACTGCACCACAGCACGGGGCTCCACGGGGCTCAGGGTGTCGTACACCACAACCATGTCACTGCCGCGGTCATCGCAGGTCGCGACATCAAAGCTTCGGAAGGTGAGGCTCAGCACAGAGCTGGCATCCCCCCGAAGGGTCCACTGGCAGCGGGAGAAAGCTGGGTAGGGGCTGTCGGGGAAGCCAGGCGTGGTGAAGCGGGTCAGCTCCCCGCTGCGGGCATGCAGGGCGAATCTGCAGCTGTCTGTGCAGGACATAAGAGGACGAGGGGCAGAGCCGGGCAGAGCCAGTGGGGGCGAGCAGCCCAGAACCCTACTGGCGGTGCCCTTAGACTTGGCCTCTCCAAGGCGCCCCAGGCTGACCTGGACCTGACGGAGACCAGGAAGGGGGCTTTTCATGGCCTGGGAGAGGCAAAGAGATGTGCTGGCTATCGATATTATGTGACTTTTGGGGACTCCTTGACTGAAGGGGTGTCTGGCCACATCCCAACCCTTCTATGGGAAGAGGGTACGATACTTACTGTCTCGGCTGCTCTGTACTGTTCTGGGGTCAGTGGCTGAAGAAAAAGAGAGAGAATAAAGTATTTACTGATCTGATCTATTTCCTCATTCCCGCTTCCTTATTCCCCTAAAGGGAGGTGCCAGCCTGCACGCAGTCTTCTCTTCCCGACACTGGCTCAGGAGCTGTGGTTCCCCTTGCAACGGTCCCTCTGGCCCACCGCAGGCTGGCCGGTCAGATGCCCACCCCTAGAAGCCCTCAACTCACGGTAGGCCACCACCGACGTCAGCATGAAGGAGCGCAGGGTGCGCGTGCGGGGCGGCAGCCTGATTGTGCGCTCCTCGGCCATGGCTCGCTCGGCCTCCTCCACCAGGTAGCTGGGGACGCTGAATTCCGACCAGTAGTAGGCGATGACGCTGCCCTCGCTGCGGAGAGAGGGCTGAGTGTGAGATGTGGGCGGGCTCTGGGCACTTGCCTGTCCCCACTCTTCCAGATGCTGGGTGCAGACCAAACTCAAATTTGGAAAAATAACGAAGACTCACTACCATTCCCAAGTGGCTTATGTGGCAGGCATCGTGCAGAGCACTCCATCTACCTCTGTGCCCTTCATCATAGCAACACTACCCGGTCATCCACCTTGGAGACAGAAGCGCTAAGCATGCTGAGTGACAGGTATAAAGGACAGAAAAGGACTGGTGCTTGGCTCTCCAGGTCCGGACCTCATGGCTTCATCACCCTGCAAGCTATGAGGCACTTGTCCCACATACAGCACCACACAGATCCCATCCCCAGCACTCCGCTCACCCAGCCTTCTCCCCAGCACCCACCTGAAGGCTGTCACGGCTGACTCCTTGTGGTAGGCGCCCAGGGCTGGGATCCCTCTGTACAACAGCTTCAGCTGAGAGAAGGAGAGGAGACTCAGGGCAGGCCGGAGAGCAGCGATGGCCCCCTGACCATAGCCCTTGCTGCTCCCTCTCTCCTGGGACTTGGGTGTCCTTCCCGTCTCCCATGCCAGCCCCGGGAGCAGACAGCAGGGACACAGCTGCAGCCCACAGACTGGACTCACCGCCTCCTTCACTTTGTTGGCCAGCTCTGCAAACTCAGTGGAGTTTGGGTTCTCATAGGCATCCAGAAAATTCTCGTTTTTAACCCTCAGGTAGCCATTAAAGATCTTCTGGACCTGCACATTCCGGTCTGTGCAAGACCAGGGAAGGAGAGTAGTCAGAGGACGTCATGCAGCCCCTGTCCTGTCCCCCACTGTTCGCAAGCTGCCCTCAGCAACCCTGGGGGAGCTGCTGTGATGAAGGGCTGGAGGCAGGCAGATTCTCTACTGGAATCCACGCCATGCTCAGACCCAAGGGCACAAAAAGCAGTACAAGTTCCCACAGACAGGTGAGTACATGCCAGGAGGGGGCAAGTGGACCTACGAGCCCCGCGGGCCAGCTCTGACCAATGCCTCATCCCCCCTTATGGCTTGAACGAGCCAGGGGAGACAGAGCCCTAGACCCCTCTTCACCCACCCGCATTGCACCCTCCGTTCTCTCCCTTGTGTCCATAAGAGGCAGGCCTCAGATCTGTCCATTGAGGGGAGAGTACAGCCACCCCCACATTGCCTTTCCCACAGCCACCCCCCTCCAGCTTTACTCACACTGGAAGTGCCACACCAGCAAACCGGCCGTGAGAGAAAGTAAGAAGAAGCTGATCAGTACGGCCACCGACACAACCCAGGGCTTGGGGCCTCGCTTCTCAACCTTCTTGGAGTTGTTCACCGGCAAGAACTCCAGGCCTTCCTCAAAGCCGTTCATGTTCTGAACACAGAAAGGCACTGCAGCTCAGATACTCTCACCACAATAGCCTGTCTAAACCCACTCACTGAAGCTCTCCACTTAAATGAATCATCTTTGATGCAGGTAGATGCCCAGGTGTGGGGAAGGCGGGCCCAACCCATAGCCATGATTGGCTACCAGGTGCCTCTGTGCAAGCTTCTAAGGGCAGCTCCCATCCAGCCACTGCAGCTCTGGGTGTGGAGCAAGCAGCTCCCACAAGATCCAGTCCCCATTGATCTTCCAAGCTAGGAGCCGGTGGGCAGCACATAAACTGTACACCCTACTCAGTGGCCTTGTTATGTCAATGTTTAACCAGTCAAAAGTAAAAAGGCAGTAAACCTGGGCAGCTCTGCTGTGCCACTGTGGAACACGCTGCCCTGCTTTCAGCCTTAAGCGTCCCAGTCCAGGATGTCAAGGTGAGGTGAGAAGGCCAGGTCCTTTCTAGAATCCACACCCATGCTCAGACCCAAGGGCATGAAAAGCAACAAAACCTCCCACAAACAGGACAGCAGTGTCCCTGGTTCCTCCCTGCCACGGGGCATCCCAGAAAGTGGGGCATGAATGTGGGCCCAGCAGGTATGGTGTCAGCAGGCAATGACAGGCAAGCTTTTCTGCCATATAGCACATACTATCTGCCTGCCCCCAATCCTGGAGAGGGGTTGTGACTCTTACAGGTTTAACTACTTCATACTCACTGCAAAAAGGGTCTGTAATAAAAGCAACAGCCCCCACCCCAAATTTCACAGATGTGGCCATTTTTAAGTTTCCAGATGTGGTTCTGGTGTTAACCTCATATCTCTAATGTGCTTGAACTAACATTTCTTGGTTTGTCACATTTTAATATTATCTATTAACTCATTATGTGAAAAATTCTCCCCACTCCTGCCACATTTGGATACTTTTATCTAATTTTAGTTTCCTAAGTGGTTGTATTTATGACTTTATCAAATATCGCACACAGAAACACACCCCATAGCTAACCCTACCATGGTAATCATATTGCAATATATAAGTGTTATCAAATCAACACATTGTACACCTTAAACTTACAGTTATATATGTCAATCATATCTCAATAAAAATAAATTTTAAAAAAGAAACAGCCCAGAGGCAACTATTTAAAATACTGTTCAGGAATTTGTTTCTATTTCTAAATAATATGCCAATACCACTATCTCTTGATTCATCTATTTAAAATATAATTAATTAATTTTCTATTATGATAATGTGGATTTTAATGTCCTTCCTTTGCCATCTCTCACCCAACCTCCCAATAGTTACAGAGCTAAAGTTTTAAAAAATTATATCCATACTGTTTTATTAGTCATTGAAAATATTTCCGCTATCATTTCCTTCTCAGTACAACTATTTTGCTTTTCCTGCTGCAAATATTCATTTACTTGGGTTTCTTTTTAGCACATACCAAAGTGTTTCCATACATTCTAAGAGTTCTGTAACACTTTTCTAATCTTTCACATATAAATTATGTTAAATAACCTCTCATTTCACTTTCCTCCTGGATGCCGTTATCCTATACCCCTCTGTCCTTTCCCATAGCTGTTGTCTGAAACTTCCTTCACCATCACCCTGGCAATTCCCTTCACCTCCCCCTTGTGTTAAAACACCCTGTTTCCTGGATTCCATGTTTTCATTGCTCAGCTTCATTTTGGTGAAACACATACGTCAGTAGCTTCCTGAGAAATGTTTTGAGAGTTTGTATGTTTCTGAAAGTACTTTAAGTCTGTATTTACATTTGTTGATAGTTTGGCTGGGTATAGGACTACAGATTTCAAATAATTTTCACTTAGAATTTTAAAGGCTCCATTGTTTTTTTAGCTTCTAACTCTAATTTTTAGAAATATGACAGTACGCATCCATTATTTTTTAGTCATGATTTGTTATCTTTCTCTGAAAGCCTTGAGGATGTGCTTTGAATTGAGTTTTTAAATTTCACGATGTGGAGCTCTCCACCTGCCCTTTGAATCTGGAAATTCCTATCTTTCAGTCTGGAAAACGTTCTTGTATAATTTTTTAAGCTATGTCCTCCCTTTCATTTTCTCTGGTCTACCTTTCTGAAATTTCTATTATATTGATCTTTAATTTTACTTATCCTTTCTCCGCTATTACCCATCTCCTTTTTTTAGCTTTCTATCAAGTTTTTCATTTCTTCTATCAAAACTTTAATTTCCAAGAGTCCTTTCTTGTTCTCTGAATTTTGGATGCAAAATCTTCTCATTTTTATATTCCTATTGAGTACTTTTTCTGTTTTTCACTTTCTCTTTCATGTTGAAGACTTTTCTCAAATGCCTAAGGATGCTTGGTTGTTCATTCATATTTAGAAATGAGGTCCAAAAGGCCCTTTGGAAACTGTGTGTGCATGGCTTGCCACAAGTGGCTTTATTGTAGGCCAAAATTGATGAGTTGTTGTTTTTTTTTAAACTGAGCACTCCCAACAGTTAGGCTATGTAGATCTTTTCCATGGGGTGGTTTAATTGCTCCAGAGAATAATTTCCTAATCTCCTGGATGGAGTGATTTAAACGTAGCCGCTAGCATTCCAGAACATGTGAGAAAACAGACCTTTGCCTTTTTATGCCCCTCACTACAGCCTTCCTCTAAACCTGGTGTCCTCAGGTCTGGAGAAATCTATTTCCCACCCATTATGGGGGACTAGTGGGGTAGAGGATCTGGAGATTTCTAATAATGCCCTTCCCTGCTTCACCTCTATCTTTTATAACACTGGAGCCCAATTCCTGAGCCTGGTAGAAGATATTATCAAAGAAATACTGAGAAACTATTTTCAAGAGCTAAAGAGAAGCATGCCTCTTTAATTCAGAGAGTTCACTGAATGATGAGAAAAATAAATGAAAAAGCAAACATAACTAAATACATTGTGATGAAATTTCGGAACACCAAGGATAAAGAGTAAGTCCTCTACACCTCTATCTGGCTTCCTGCCCCCTCATATTTTTGCATTTCTTCATAATTTGGGATTCTGGGATTCTTCATTATTCTGGGATTTTTTTTTTTAACTTACTCTTGTAAACCTATGGAATTTAAAAAATAGCTTCACTAAGGTATAATTGACAAACTAAACTGTACATATTTAAAGTGTATAATTTTTGACATGAAACCATCACCACAATCAAGATAACGAACATATCTTCTCTCACCTTGAAAAGTTTCCTCCTAGCTCTTCCCTCTCACTCCTCCCTGATTCCCTGTCCAGCCCTGAGGCAACCCCACATCAGCTTCCTATAAGTAAAGACCAGTTTGCTTTTTCTAGACTTTATATAAATGGAGTTATATAGCATGTACTCCTTAGTGTCTGGCTTCTTTTACTCAACACAATTTTTTGAGATTCATTCCCATTATTATGTTTACCAAAGTGACTAAACTATTTTACAGTCTCATCAGCAGTATACAAGGATTCCAGTTGTCCTCATCCTGTCCAACATGTTAGCCATTCTAACAGATGTATAGTGGTATTTCGCTATGGTCTGAAGTTGCTTTTCCCTAATGACTAATGATGTTGAGCATCTTTTTCATATGCTTAATTGCCATTTGCTTATCTTCTTTAGTGCAGTATTGTTTCAAATCTTTTTTAAATTGATTTTCTGACACTCCTACTGAGTGTTGATAGTTCTTTATATGTATTCTGACACTCCTACTGAGTGTTGATAGTTCTTTATATGTATTCTGGATACAATCCTTTGTCAAAAATCAGTTGTCCACATATTTGTGACAACTTCCAGACTCTGTTCTGTTTCATGATCTCTGTCTGTCTTTATGCTAATAGCATACCGTCTTCATTACTGTAGCCTTGTAAGTCAAAAAAGCTATTGAAATAATAAGTGAGTTTAACAAGATTGCAGGATACAAGATCAAGATATAAAAATCACTTGCGTTTCTACATGTTAACAATGACCAACTGGAAATTAAAACAAACAAACAAAATACCATTTACAATAGCATCTACAATATGAAATATGTAGGGGTAAATCTGACAAAAGATATTCAAGACTTATACACTGAAATATACAAAATGTTCCTGAGAGAAATTTTAAAGACCTAAATAAATCAAGCAATATCCCATGTACATGGACTGTAAGATTCAATATAGTTAAGATGTCTATTCTTCTCAAATTCATCTAAATCTTGATCAAAATTTCAGAAGCTTTTTGTAGAAATAGATGGGCTACTCTTAAATTCATATGGAAATGCAACAGACCATGAAAAAGAACTACGAAACTGGAGGATTAAGATCACCTGATCGCAAGACTTATTATAAAGGTAATGAATGTTTTTCTTTAAATTTTAAAAATCATGTTTCACTGCCAAGAGTGATGTTTTAATCTTTGATAGTTATTTTTTCTGAGCAGCCTTTTCTTATTTTATGAATGTACTACCTTCTTGCTTTCTTAGGATATCAACTAGATTTTTTTTATTATCTTCAGAGCTTTGTTTTTGCCTTTCTCTTTCAGGCCATAGGTTTTCTTTAAATAGCCAATGGTCCTTGGTTGTCTAATCAAATTTAAAAACAAAAAATAGTAAGGCTTTAGCTAGACTCTCTGAACAGACTGTGTGTTTGTGTATATGTGTTAGAAGAAATGTAACAAAATAATTGTTTATTGTGTTTATTTTCAATTTAAAGAGTAATTTCATGACTATTTTCTTATCTGAGCCTCACAACAATTTTGGAATCATTCGTGACTGGTGCCATCACCCCCATTCTACAGATAAGGCAGGAAGAAATTATGACTTTGCAAGATCACACAGCCAGTCCAGATTTTATTCTGGTTTTTGCCTCCCTGTATGGTCAGTTTCTAGAACTCACGAAGCAAGTATTCAGGGGATAGGGAAAGCAAGCTCTGTGGGAAGTGGGAGGTGGCCAACAGCATGGAAGGTAGACCCCAGAAGCCACCCCCAGCCTGGCCATAGAACAAGGCCGTCAGCAGTGGGACAGGTTCAACGGCAGGGCCTT